GAAACCACGACAGGGCACTGAGCAGAATGAGAACTGGGCCTAAATACCCCTCCTCTAGATCTGATAGGCTGTAACCGGCCTTTGACGCCAAAGTCAGTTACCAGGTTCCCATTTGCATAATTGCTGCTCAGCATTAACCCTTCTGTGGATTAGGTTGCTGCTCGGCACAACTTTTCCTGTGTGGACAGTAAATGTAATTAACCACATTTTTATAAGTGGATGAATACGTGACATTACCCCCCGCCTGAAGAACACCCACCGGGCGGGCAGGACCAGGCTTGAGAGGAAATTTGGTGTGAAAATAGCGAATCTTGCGGCCACCATATATATCAGATGCCGGAACCCAAGAACGGTCAGCTGGTCAATAACCTTTCCAATCCACCAAGTACTGTAAAGTGCCCCGAGAAAACCTGGAATCCATTATTGAGGAGACCTCATACTCTTCCTGTCCAGAAACAACTTAGGGAGGAGGAGGGACACTTGAGACAGTATATTTATTGCACACAGGAGGTTTGAGTAAGGACACATGAAAGGAATTTTCAAGGAGGCCGGAAGGGCCAGAGAGTACGCAAAAGGATTGATCCTACAAAGGACACGAAAAGGTCCAAGGAACCTAGGAGCGAATTTCATGCTAGGGACTTTGAGCCTGATGTTACGAGAAGATAACCAAACCCTCTCACCCACTTGGTAAACAGGGTTGGCACCTCCACGTGTATCAGCATGATGCTTGAAACGGTAAGCAGCAGTACCCAGAGCAGATTGAACTTTAACCCAGGTATCACGGATGGAAGCCAGACGGTCATCCAAAGCAGGAATAGCCGCGTCAGAAAAAACAGCCGGTAGGACAGTAGGATGCCGGCCATTATTAACAAAAAATGGACTATGCCCAGAGGAGTCATGGTCAGCATTGTTCCTAGCAAACTCGGCCCATGTTAGTAATTCGGACCAATTGTCTTGAGTGCTATTAACGAAACAACGCAAATATAATTCCAAGGACTGGTTAGCCCTCTCAGCTGTACCATTGGTACAGATTTATTCATTGATATAATGTTGCAATATATTTCTAGTCTGCCCTGTGCAAGCTATGTGAAAATATATGGTTCATTTTGTTCATCATGAAATTTGTAACAATTGTTACAATATTACTTTTCTTGCAACTATGTTTCCACCTATGTGGCTATCCAATCTCCATATTTTCTCTTTAATTGGTATTGGGATTGTATATACTTTGTCCTTTTTAACTTTTTTCTCTCTGGTCACCTGTTGTACTAGCACAGACGTCACATGGTTAACTAGTTTTGATGACATATTTTTTATTTCCACACGTCATGAATGACATCACTAATCTCGTTTTCCCTCTATTCACCCTCCAATCACAAGTTGAGGCAAATATTTTACGGTTTTCATTCCATCTAATACTTGTCTTGCTAAAAGTCTGTATTGACTGAAACATTACCTGATGGCTGAATAAAAGTACTATTTACTTGCTTCATTAAGACTCCAGAGTGCTTTCTTCATGGAAGATATATTGGGCTAGAGATAGCACAGGAGCCATCTAAGACCATGAACGTAGAGTGCTGGGATCGAGAATATAATATATATATACACACACACACACACATACAGTGAGGGAAAAAGTATTTTTATCCCCTGCTGATTTTGAACATTTTCCCACTGACAAAGAAATGATCAGTCTATAATTTTAATGGTAGGTTTATGTTAACAGTGGTGGACAGAATAACAAAAAAAAAATCCAGAAAAGCGCATGTCAAAAAAGTTATAAATTGGGGGCGGGGCCGGACCGCCATGCTAACCAGTCGCATGCAGGAGAGGCTCTGGGGAAATCTGGCCTCTTAAGCTACAAAGAGCAGACTTTGCACAAAAAAAGGAGCCCACGAAATGCCGCCCTACTCGGGAGGGGAGCGAGTTGGACAGCCACTGCCGGGCCTCCATTCCCAGCTACCACATGCTGACTGCCTGAGTCGCTAGCCGGTCCTCTCCCCTTCCCCCTCCGCCCCCTTTGGACAGTGAGGGTCATCCCAGTCCCCACTGATATAAGAGCTTGAGATGTGAGGCATCCGAGGCGCACATCACACCCGAGGCCTACCTCGCAAAATGGCGGTGTCTCATGGCACTTCGCCATCTACTCCTGCACCACGGAGCCCCTGCGAGCTGCAGTCACGCCACCCGTCCTGGTGGAAAGCCCCAAGGAAGGGTTCCCGATAGATCCATCGACCACCTCTGTCTGGTAGAGCGAGAGACCCTCTGCCCGAACCGGACGCCCACTGGTGGCCCAGGTGAGGGAGGCGAGCGATGATCCCATGCCACGGCATATCTCTGCCAAGGGGTCCTCTACAACCACCTACATGCAGGACATGTGTGGTACTCTCCTGGACATGAGCTTGACAAAAGAAGAAGACCTACCGCAAACTGTAGAGTACCTGAGACATCCGAATGGACTGGAGGGTCCCCACTACCCCCATCCGCCGCTGAACTGCTGGGTTACAAGATAAGTGTCTCAGGGGACCAAGCACTTCTTGCAAATGCAGAGACACTCACAGCCCATGGACTTTATAAGAAACAGCAGCTTCAAGTACGTAGCTTGCCGCCCAAGACCTAATGCGCTCTACAATACACCGTGGCCATATATTATTTTCCCTAAAAGTTCATCTCCGCCTGCCTCACACAGAATCTAGTAACGTTACAGGGGTTTACCCAGCTCCAGTGGTTACTTATGTGCTTGCTAATTCACTTGCCCATCCTATTTAATAATCTACATGTCTAATGCGTCTTGGTTCTGACTCTTATCGCATTGTCTCACATGTATGCTTTAGCTAGTTTTAGCAAGTACAATAATGCATTGATTTATAGCAATGTCCTCTCACATCACAAGCATTCTACACTACATAGTGGTAGCTCGTCAGTTATGTTAAGCCTGTATTGGATATGTTCCTACCCTTACGTATCTACTTAATTATAAAAAATTGTGCACGTACTCTAGAATATCCCATTGTTACATATGTTTCACCCATGCATGAGGACTGCCACTGGGGTACCTCACGCGTATATGTTATATTAAATTGCACTCCAAAAAAAAAAAAAAGTTTTTATAAATTGATTTGCGTGTCAATGAGTGAAATACGTATTTGATCCCCTATCAATCAGCAAGATGTCTGGCTCCCAGGTGTCTTTCATACATGTAACGAGCTGAGATTGGGAGCACTCTTTTAAAGGACAGAAGCAATCAATTAATCAGATTCCAAACTTCACCATGGCCAAGACCAAAGAACTGTCCAAGGATGCCAGGGACAAGATTGTAGACCTGCACAAGGCTGGAATGGGCTACAAGACCATCGCCAAGCAGCTTGATGAGAAGGTGACAACAGTTGGTGCAATTATTCGCAAATGGAAGAAACACAAAATAACGATCAGTCTCCCTCGGTCTGGTCTTGTGGAGTTTCAGTGATCATGAGAACGGTGAGGAATCAGCCCAGAACTACACGGGAGAATCTTATTAATGATTACAAGGCAGCTGGGACCATAGTCACGAAGAAAACAATTGGTAACACACTAAGCTGTGAAGGACTGAAATCCTGCAGCGCCTGCAAGGTCCCCCTGCTCAAGAAAGCACATGTACAGGCCCATCCGAAGTTTGCTAATGTACATCTGAATGATTCAGAGGAGAACTGGGTGAGACCAAAATCGAGCTCTTTGGCATCAATTCAACTCGCCGTGTTTGGATGAGGAGGAATGCTGCCTATGACCCCAAGAACACCATCCCCACCGTCAAACATGGAGGTGGAAACATTATGTTTTGGGGGTGTTTTTTCTGCTAAGGGGACGGGACAACTGCACCGTATTAAAGGGACGATGGACAGTGCCATGTACCGCCAAATCTTCGGTGAAAACCTCCTTCCCTCAGCCAGGGCATTGAAAATGGGTCGTGGATGGGTATTCCAGCATGACAATGACCCAAAACACACAGCCAAGACAACAAAGGAGTGGCTCAAGAAGGACATTAAGGTCCTGGAGTGGCCTAGCCAGTCTCCAGACCTTAATCCCATAGAAAATCTGTGGAGAGAACTGAAGGTTCGAGTTGCCAAACGTCAGCCTCGAAACCTTAATGACTTGAAGAGGATCTGCAAAGAGGAGTGGGGCAAAATCCCTCCTGGGATGTGTGCAAACCTGGTGGCCGACTACAAGGAACATCTAACCTCTGTGCCAACAAGAGTCTTGCCACCAAGTACTAAGTCGAAGGCATGAAATACTCATTTATACATTTTTTGACATGCGTTTTTCTGAAATTTTTTTTTTGTTATTCAGTCTCTCACTGTTAAAATACACCTACCGTTATAATTATAGGCTGATCATTTCTTTGTCAGTGGGCAAATGTTTAAAATCAGCAGGAAATCAAATACTTTTTTACCTCACTGTGTATATAATAACTATGTATATTAACCTAAAAATACTTATATGACCATCCAAGACCAGGAACGTAGAGTGCTGGGATCGAGAATATAATATATATATATATGTATTTATATATATAATATAATTTAAAAATACACTTTGAAATAAATATTTATATATATATATATATATATATATATATATATATAGTAAATCAACAAAGGGTGCACTCAAAGGTCTTCTCAAATCAAAAAAATCATGTTTAATATAGTATTCAAAAAAACTCCATGAAATCTGTACATGGGGAGCATCGTTGTACACAAAGGACATCATTGCATACAAATAAGTGTATTGTATTGCAGTAAAAGCTAACAGCATTATGACAACCACACTTTTTGTTAGATTTTATTCATACTAAATAGTTTTGTATATAAATATTTGATGTGAACTGAATGCTCAATTTCTCCTGAGCAGAATGATGTGTAATAAGTGTGGGTGCACTTAATAAGAAAGAGATCATTTATGTTTAAACAGACATATAGCGCAAATTCAATTTTTTGTTTTGATCATAACTTGTACAATAGCCTCCATCCTTAAGGGGTTAAAAAAGCTGGGGAATATCCACCACTGAAGACATTTTCTAGGAGATGGAAAATGTCTTCAGTGGTGGATATTCCCCAGCTTAATGCACCTTACCATAATTCTCCAGATAGTCTAACTTCATAATATATGGCTCTTCAAGCAATGGAAATTATTTTACAGATCATGGGACACTCTTTATCCATTTCCATTTCTATGGTTATTTTCCTGTTCATTCTATAATTCGTGACCTGTGACCTTCAGCACATGTCCAGCAATTTTATAAAGAATGTGACAGCAATGACAACTTGTTTATTTTATAAAATATATTGTGGGCTTCTCTAGAATGGTAGCATTTCATCCTATTCGTATTAGAAGCAATTTCAAGCACAGCTTCTCGGCTCTCCTGACATAAGTGATCTGTGTGTGGGTGGAATACAGCATAATCCTATATCTATTTTACAGAGAATTAAAGGTCGATCTTAAGTCTATTCTGTCTAGACAACCTGCTTTAGATCATTCTATTCGTTTTCCTCATTTTATAGATATATTTGTACTAGACACAATGTAGAGTGAAAAGGCTGTAGTGTCGGAGATATCGTTCTTTACTTTATTCTGTTTATATATTTTCTGTTATGTTATCCTTTTGCTCAATTGTTACATTTGTTGTACATTATTTTAACCCCTTAAGGACCAAACTTCTGGAATAAAAGGGAATCATGACATGTCACACATGTCGTGTCCTTAAGGGGTTAAAGGAACACTATAGTCACCTAAATTACTTTAGCTAAATAAAGCAGTTTTAGTGTATAGATCATTCCCCTGCAATTTCACTGCTCAATTCACTGTCATTTAGGAGTTATATCACTTTGTTCCTGTTTATGCAGCCCTGGCCACACCTCCCCTGGCTATGACTGACAGAACCTGCATGAAAAAAAAACAGATTTCCCTTTCAAACAGATGTAATTTACCTTAAATAATTGTATCTCAATCTCTAAATTGAACTTTAATCACATACAGGAGGTTCTTGCAGGGTCTAGCAAGCTATTAACATAGCAGGGGATAAAAAAATCTTAATTAAACAGAACTTGCAATAAAGAAAGCCTAAATAGGGCTCTCTTTACAGGATGTGTTTATGGAAGGCTGTGCAAGTCACATGCAGGGAGGTGTGACTAGGGTTCATAAACAAAGGGATTTAACTCCTAAATGGCAGAGGATTGAGCAGTGAGGCTGCAGGGGCATGTTCTATACACCAAAACTGCTTCATTAAGCTAAAGTTGTTCAGGTGACTATAGTGTCCCTTAAAGCATTTGTGTTATTTCGCCAATATTATGGATCACCATTAAATAACCTTTTTGGGGGGGCCTTATTTGATTGCCACAAGATTACTACATTGAACATACCATGTCTTGGATCCCTAAAAGAGATATCTTATACTTCACAATATTTTATATTGGTTAAGATGGAGGCGTTTGTTTTAGGCTTTGTGTCTGGTCGACTGGGCATTTTCATATTTTAAAGGAGCACTCCATTTTTATTTTATGTATGGAATGTTTTTTTATTTTTTATTTACTAGATATATACACTTTAGAAAACATGCATGTATGTTTCCTGTGGGGGTAAATAAAACACAAACAAACTCACAAAAGCTGCAGATTGGCTAACTGCAACCTTTATGAACAAATGATCAAATCCACTGCTTCCCCACATTTAAATGCTAGAACGATAGATTTTTCTATATGGGACAGGCAAATAAATACATCTCAAAAAGGTGTATATATATATTCTTTTAGATGCACACAAAAGGGAAACTCCAATTAATGCAAATTGTAACAATATAAATAAATATACTCCACCATGAGAGACACATGTGGAAAACGGAGTAACTTTAAAGCAGTCTCCTCTTTATTCTACGTTCTATCTGTATTAACAAACATGTAACAAAATCCACAAATGAACAGGGAAAATCAGCAAACTGTGCATACAGTAGGAGGGAAGGAGAAATACATACCACATACCTGAAACTAAACATGTTTTATATCTACAACAGATGCTTTGTCAACAGTAACCAATTTGCTTTAATGTTACTCCTGTTTGCCACATTTTTTGTCATGGTGGAGTGAAACATTTGGTTATATTGTGATTGTCTGCAACTTTTGCAAGCCCTCCCCTCTTTCCCAGACACAGGCTGTCGGTCTGTGCCTGGGAGTACACCAGTCAGAGACTTGAACTGCTAGCAAGCGTGCGATTATGGCTTCCGTATGCTTCTGAATGTGCTGTAGGCAACTACTGCCCCTACCTTTTGCTCAGTGGGGGTAACAGAAGCAGACTATAACCTCCATGGCTTTCTGATTGACAACTAGGAAGGTGTATCTGCACCAATTATAAAAGTGATGATTTCTAAATAAATCTGCACTTTTATAGACAGCCAATAAAATGAGACAACAGAAATACAAAGTTCTTCAGTAAGCTGAATTGCTTAATGTGGGTGAAGTGTTCCTCTAAAGGTACACTCTAAGTACTAAAACCTCTACATTGTATTCAAAGTGATACACAATTAACACAAACATGGCTGATGGTTCTCATAGAGAAGCACTGGATTCAGTGCCTCTCGGTGAAAAACGTTTGATTGGTGGGGTGCTGCGATTGCTGGACATGTGCTGTAGCTCCTCATTATTTTTTCTGAGAACCAATTGAGTAGACCAACCAGAGGTCATCAGGATTAATGTCACAGAAGCTGATAATGTGACCATTTGAAAAACAAATTTACTTTATTCTGCTTTTGAAATATTTTGATCTGCTTCTTTGAAACTCCAGCTTCTGTATCTTTACTGTGAGGCTGTAGAGGTTAATATGATGGTTAAGGATGTCTTTGGATATTTGATGTGTACCTTTCAACAGAAAGGAGTGATTAATATAGTGGCTATGACACCTCTGTCTGGCAAAGGGCATTAGAAAATGGAATCTAATGATGGATGTTTGCACCAAGGTAACATAACTGGGACTTTTACTCAATACCAACCAACCCTTATTTTTCCTGTGAATTAAACTTACAAAATTACAAATCATCTTGGCTGCTTCTCAGGCCCGTAATCCAAACAGCAGTTAAGCTTCTTTGTAAAACCGCAAACTCCAATCTCTTTACCTGATGCGTCTTTAATAAATTCGGCTTAATAAATCCGATTTCATTAAATGGAAAAAGCTGTATTGGCTAGTCCCTCCTTTTGGACTGCCAGAAAATGGATGTCTGCAAAACACTGACAAAGAATATAAAGGTTTTTTGTTTTTTTTAAATATTTGTATAGAAATTAAGCCTTGGAGAATAATTTATTTTAGCTTCATCCTATAGTCCTTTTTACATTCTTATTTGCCTTTATGGAGTTTTGTATGCTCCAGTCTGCCCTTATATTCCTGTTGTCCCTCTCTTTTCCAATCTGTGCATGTTTGTCCCTCCTGTTTCATATCTGTGCTTTTTTTTTTTATACCCACTCTCTGGTGCAGTTCTGTACCCTTCTTCTATGGGTTTTTGTGTTCTCTATCCAACCACTGAATGTTGTTGTTTTTTCCTGCTTACCTTCCACATACCCTTCACCATTCTGGATACTATATTTGATCTGGATGTCCCCAAAAATCTCTACCTCTGTCTGTTTTTTCATTCATCAGTAGTACAGTCTATTAAAGGATCACTATAGTGTCAGGAAAACAAAACGGTTTTCCTGATACTATGTAATCCTTGGGGGACCCTCACCCTCAGGGTCCCCCTTCCATGGCGCTGAAGGCGTTAAAACCCCTTCAGCAGCTTACCTTAATCCAGCGCCGGGCTCCCTAGGCGCTGGTGACCTCTCCTCCCCCGCCGACATCAGCTCCAGAGTGGAGCAAAATGTGCATGCAGGGCAAGAGCCGCATGCGCATTCTAACAGTCCATAGGAAAGGGTTTCTCATCCAGCGTTGCAGAAGCGCCTCTAGCGTCTGTCAGGAAGACAGCCACTAGAGGTTGGCTTAACTCTGCTATGTAAATGTTTACATCTGAAGGGTTAAAACCTGTGGAACATTGCACCCAGACTACTTCATTTAGCTGAAGTGGTCTGGGTGACTATAGTGGTCCATTAAGGACATCACACCCCGCAATATTAATGTGTGTTACTTTCACAGTGTTCTTCGTGCTGCTCTGCTGTTTTGTTTTTTTGGGGTTTTTTTTTTTGTTTGTTTTTTGTAGCTTGTGTAAAAGTGTCGGACTCCTTGGAAGTGAATACACCTGGAACATATTCAAACTTTGAGTGTAATACATCGCTTTATAACTTTCAAAATTACAGAACAGAAGCCTTTCTCTTTAACGGTTTGCTTATAATATTGCAGTGTTTCAGGCCAAGGATGATCTGACCAGGATATTCTTCAGCATAGGGAATCCGCGCAGTGCATCCACATGTCTTCTAGCGATAAGAAGCAGACTAATGACAAATGTGTCTCTGAGCCCAGACACTATGCTGAATTGTAATCATGGAAATAAAAAGGCATTAAAGTTTTCTCCCAAGCTTTATCTCTTATCCTATTAACTAACACACTGCTAGATTGGTTTGCAACAAGCAATGGATCTTATGCAAGCTTCATTGCCTATTTATTTTAGATGGGAAACACCTGTGAATTTAGTGGTGTTATATAGCACTCTGCTTTGCCTGCCAATTTGTTAGGTGAAGTCGTATCTCCATTGTATTACTTGCATTGGATCATAGATAATGCTGTGCTAAAAAAACACTTTAAACCATAACCACTGCAACTTATTGCAGGCACAATCGTGATGGATTTAATCCAAACACATAGAAACCCATAGTATCAAAATGTGCCACTACCCAAATGTGGGGAAATTCTATAAAATGGTGTCAAAATGATAGATTCCTTTATTACTCACTCTATGTTCGCACTGGATGTTCCCAAGGTCCTTGGTAGTAGTGTAGTTTTGCAAATACTGAAAATCTCAACCAATCCAGCAACACCGCACTCAGGAGAGGTTGTGAAATAAATCCATATAAAACCATTTAGAACACGCCATGCCCACCAAGGTAGGTAGCAGAAACATACGAAATTATACAGAAAAAAAAATCCCTGGTTCGTGCATCAGGGCATTTTACAATCT